CTTACTGCGGTAATCATGTATTGAGTAATTCTAATAAGATGTTTTCCTATTTTAAAGTCCATTATCCCCAACAGGAAGGGGTCTGGTTTAAATTGTAGTATGTAGCTCTGCATCAAGGTTTGTATTTGAGTCCAACATTTCTTTGCAATTTTACATGTCCACCACATATGGTAAAACGATTTCTCTTGTTGGATACATTTCCAACAAACGTTGGAAATTGTCCCATACATCTTTGATAGTCTTTGGGGTGTCATATACCACCGATACGTCATTTTATAGACAAAGCAGCTTCTTATGATCCTGTTTTCCTAGCAGACTCATTTCAAGTGACCTCCAGAACGTACAACTGAGTTGTTGCTCTTCCGAGCAGTTTTTCCCATCCCTCCAGATGTGTTGGGGTATTTATTTATTTAAAAGATTTGTATGGCCACCTGTTTTAACACAACTCTGGACAGCTCATAACAACAATAAAACCCCAGAACTATAAAAATCATAAATCATAAAACCAAAACAAAACCCAGCACCTCAATCATCCCTTTGGGATGCCCCACAGCCAACTCCAGTCATCCCCACCCTACCCCAGGCCCTCGGTAAAAAGCCAGGTCTTGATGGCCTTCCGGAAGATTTAAAAGGGGGGAGGCTTGCTGGATCACTGTGGGGAGGGTGTTCCATAAGGTAGGGCCAGCCATGGAAAAAGCATGTTTTTGAGGTCCCACTAGATGGTAAGATTTCAGGGAAGGGACCTGGAGTGTGCTTACCCTATCTGAACTGGCAGGGCAGGCAATAGTCTCGGGGAGTAGCAGTCCCCAAACAGCTGGAGGGTGTAGATTGAGGAAAGTGGATATACCTCAAAGAAGAAACTGTTTCATGGACTGGCAGACAGCCACCCATTCTCCTCTGCTTCTAGCCCCACACAAGTACTACATCGGTTTCCGCTACGTCCATCCTCTGACGGAAAAAGCAGTGGAAGAGATGGAAAAAGATGGTGTTGAAAGAGCCATTGCTTTTACCCAGTATCCACAGTATAGCTGCTCCACCACCGGTGAGTCCAGTTGCAGAGTAAAGTCATTTGCTAAGTTCAAAAAGGAGGGGTTGATCAAAACCAGGGATGGGCAACTTAAAATCTTCAGCTGTGGGAAGCAGTGTCACCAGACAGAGGGTAGATGTGGATTCAGCTTGCTTGTCTACTTAGGGGGTGATAGATTAGGGCTTTTTCTGGGTGTGTTCAGTTTCAAGTTCTATTTTGGGTCCTTTCAAAATTCAGCATTGTCTGTTATCTAATCCAAGGTAAGACTTTAATAGCTCAATCCTTAAATGTGCAAATAGTAGCAAGGTATTAACTTCTGTCCATATCTGGAGGGTTTTTCCTCTGGTTGAATTATCCCAGCTTGACCTGTACAACTGGTATTAAGGGGGATTGCAGTTACACAGTGACAGCCAGGATGATTAAAACTTAATTAAAAAATAGATTTGCTCAGACTGTCTGTATATTTTTGTTCATCTGCAGTTCAGGAAATCAGAAGTATATTTGTGGGTACTTAAGGAGTTTTACTGACTTAGACTTTTAGCCCTATAAGCTTCGTGTTGCCAACACTGGCTGGCAGTGACTTCAGGTTTAGACATGCTGGAGACTGGAGATGTTGAGGATGGACCCTGTGATTTTCTGCATGCAAAGAAGTGCATTTGTGCTGATGTTTCTCATGAATCCCATGGCTGGTGCTACTGTTTCCATAAATGTGCTTCGTAGAGAATTGAAGCAGTCATGACACTAGCCAATCCCCAAATTTGAATCAGTGACGCGATGCAGGATCACCAACAGGACTTCTAGATGCAGTGACCAAGAATGAAGGGACTTGGAGTCTTATCTGAGTAGGGCCAGTTTGAATAAGGCAGAGCTCTTGGTTGGTGATGTGACTGTAATGGGATGCTGAATTAGAGGGGTCTGTCCCAATGGGTTCTGTCTGCATCCTTAACAAACCCCTGCCTCCTATCAGATTTAGTTCCAAGGAAGAGTTTCTGCTTATATCAGTAGCATGTACTTGGAGGGGCTGGAACACAGGCGTTTATAGTGGGCAGGGTGATGATGTCACTTAGTGTTTCTCAACCATGGCATCTTTAAGACTTATGGACTTCAATTCCCAGAATTCTGGGAGTTGAAGTCCACATGTCTTAAAGTTGCCAAGGTTGGAAACACTGTAAATGGTGCTCATGGGACAAATCGGCATTTTCCATGTTCTTACAGCTTGGGAGCAGTTTAGCTCTTTTCTTTTTTTAAAGGTGTAGCCTGTTTTAGGGCTTACACTTAGCTTTTGTCTCCATCCCACTTCAAAACACCATGCTAGTGAGTTGTTGGTTGGGGCTTGGACTTGGCCATATTTTGTAGAGGATTTGGAGTAAGAGAGGTGAAAGAAAGACTTATAGGAAGGGGAGGAGATGACCTATTCCTGGATTAGCCTATTGTCTGAGTTCATTATTTTGCATCCTTCAGGAAGCAGCCTGAATGCAATTTATCGCTACTATCACCAAAAAGGGGAAAAGCCAAAGATGAAATGGAGTACAATTGACCGGTGGCCAACTCATCCCCTCCTGATTCAGGTATAGGGAACCTTTACACAAAGGTCTTTCAGATTTTTCAAGAGTGTTGCCACGTCTTCCTGGAATGCTCACCTCCCAGCTCTTCTAAGCACTGTTCCTCAGAATGGGTTTCCAGAACCTTCTGCATCCTGCTAGGGCTTCTCTAATGCCCTTTGCTTTGCCTGGGCCTTTACTGAAACATTGTGCTCCGAACTCAACCGTTAGTGTGGTTCTTTGAGAGTTGCCGTAGATCTGTAATTTTTCATATTAGAGAGGGGGAGAAGTGTTAAATATATGGGGAAGAATCCCATAATAATGGTATTTAATGAAATGTAAAATGTTGATTAAAGTCAGATGTAGTGTTTTTCACAGCCCTAGCCCTTTTTAGATTGTGTCCCTTTGCATACTGCTGTAAGGTTTTTTTGCCCTTGGCTTTAAAAAACTTTTCCTATCCTATTTAGGCAAAGCAACATGTGAAAGTAATGTGAACATGGCTGAAATCTCATAGGTTGAGATAGATTTGTATTTACAGTATTTGTATTTTCGGGATGTACAAAAATTCTGTTCTGGAGAACTCTGTAGTGGAACATTTTTTACTAACATGCCTATCTGGCCCAGAATATTTATACCCAGAAAACTGCTGGACATCCTCAGAACAGCTGGCTTGGTGTGATCTGGAAGAAAACATTCCAGTTTTCTGGAAATGTATAGACAGTTACATGCTAAAAATAAATCTTGAGTGATACATATCATTCAGTCTACCAGGGTGCCTGACCACTTTCAAATAAACTGCTTTGCAGTATAATGTCATTTCCCTAAAGGAATCCCAGAGGAAATATTATGCTCTATTACCTCTCTGCCTGCAAATATGGAAAAAGAGATGTTTCTTAAATTGGGAAGATGTGAGATATCAGCAAAGGATGAGGAAGAAGTAGGCTTTGTCTTCCGACATAACAGTGATCCTCAAGGTCTTGAACCTACAGCTGATTTTAGTTAAAAGTGAAAAGTAGTGTCTAATGTCCTTAATTCTTAATTGTCTTATTTTTGCTTTTCAGTGTTTTGCAGATCACATAAAGAAGGAACTAGACTTATTTCCACCGGATAAGAGAAAAGACGTGGTGATCCTTTTCTCTGCTCATTCTCTACCAATGTCAGTGAGTAACAGCAATCTTTTTGACCCTGTTAAATTTTTGCTTTAAAGATGTAAGTATTGTCTGTCTGTATAGAAATCAACCCTGTACTTGATCCATTCATCAGTTTTCCTGTTTGGGATAACAGAATATGGCAACTATGCTGTTCACTTATTTTTGTGTTAAGATGGAGCACTGAAACAGGGTAGAATAGCAAAGATTGATGCTGAACCAAGGCAGAAGAAGAACCAAGTATAGTCAGACTTGGCCATCTTTTTAAGCAATGAGTTCTCTTCTCTGGCTCTGCATAATGGTCCAGGCATTAAAAAAATAAATAAAAATCAAAATGTTAGCATCTCATGAGATTCTTGGGTCTCTTATGACTTCACCAGTCTCAGTCCTGTGTTTTCACATTGTTCTCTGTACACTTCAGAAATTTCTCATGATGTCCTGTGAGAATGGCTGAAGTTTTGCAAGATTTCAGTGATTAAAAAAAAGTTTAACAGTTCTGAAGAACATTACCTAAAGGTACATGGAAACTTTAATGCCTATAGGTGCCCTGTTCTTGATGGCAGGCCAGAGAGATGCCTGCAGAAATAGGAATAAACAGAATAATGTAATAAAAGTCATGTTGATGTGCTCCTCATCTCTCTTTAATAGCTTCCACACCCCTCATTTTCCTGCTTCCAACTTGAACCTGCGTAGAGTCCCTCCTTGTTGAACCCTGAAGTCTCTGCTTCTACCATATGTTTCATTATGGTAGCAGACTCAGACAGACCTCTGTTCATAGTGAATATCACCAAGCATAGGGTCTCGCCCAAATCCCTGAAGATCAGAGCAAGACCTTCTGCCTAACCTTTTATAGCAGATGCCTCCTCTAGAGGTTATTTCAGCCAGGGTATCAGCCCTGAAGGAAACAAGGGGTGGAGGACATTTTCTCAACCAGTGATACACCGAAGTAACCTGGTTGAGATGTGACTCCCTTCCTCAGATAGGAAGCTCATGGGAGAAAGAGTGAGAACAGAGCAGGAATCAGCAGAGGAGGAGCAGGTAGTCTCCAATTCCATGTGTTGAGGCAGAAGAAACCCAGCATCTCAAGAGCAGGTCTGGTGGAACATGGGATTGAACAGCTTTTTGAGATCTGGGATTGGAGCAGTCTTGGATGAACATCCTTGTGTGTGCATTAAAGTTATACATATACATTTATAAAATGTGCATGTTTGTTAGGGTTTTTTTTAATGTTTGATAGTTTTTCTTTGTTCCTGTGATTGCCAGGACTTAAGATACAAAAGGGGGTATGTAGTGAAACTCCAGAGAATAATTCTGTTTTTCTGGAAACAATCTGCAAATGGTCACAGCAGGTAACATTTTTTCAGTGCTTAAAATTTAGCGTAAGTGATACACATTTGCAGATATTCGGTTATGCTGTTCATATCCTTCTTAGAAAAAATAGGTTTTACATTGTATTGTGGTGGGATCCACGTTCTTTGTTAGAGTTATTGCTGGAACTTAAAAGACACAGAAGAAGGGAAAGTGAACTCCAGATGTTAATTCTGTTTTTCTGGAAGCAATCTGCAAACAGTTTTAATAGCTTAACAAAACAGCTTGTGTGAGAGCAACAGTGATGGCGCAGAACTGATTTTGTTCTGTTTGTCCAAAGAACAAAAATCTGCCACCCCAGATGTTGCCATTTGTGGACATTTGGTGCCATCTAGTGGTCTTTGGCAAGAGCAGAAACAACTCAGTAATGCAGTAGATCCAAAATAGGCTCGAGAACTGAACTGCAAATAATGCTGCTGCTAGAGAAGAACTCAGTTAAAGCAATCCTACATATTAAAAATAAAAATCTCTGAACACATTTCTTTCCTAATCAATGTGGCTGCAAGGCTAGGAGAAGTTGTGGCTGTTTTTAATGAACTTTGGAAAAGGATGAGCAAGGTGTTAAAAAACAAACAAAAAACAGGCAGCTGTTTGGTTAGGCCATGGCTGGCTGGGGAATTCTGGGAGTTGAAGTCCACTCAT